AGCCTGGATGCTCCTTTCTGCCCACAAGGAGCTTTTTATCTGGGCAGGGAAAGAACTGAGTCGTATTCCGAGACAGTAAGTCTCTCTCGACGGTTTTTGGCCACGATGACTAAACGAAACCTCCATGTCCAGATGCAGCATGCCTCCGAGTGCCAGGCACACCGATGCAAACAGCAGAACTCAAGGTCGCTCATACCGTAAATAAAAGAATATTATTAAAAGCTGCACACTAAAGACCACAATTTAAAAATCTCAGTTAAGCCTGCCAGTCCAGGGCTATTTTTGGGCAGGAACGCACAGGAACGGAGTTCCTGCTGGCTCCCAAGCTGGCCACGCCCAGCAAGAACCTTATTAGCATAGTAGGCCACACCCAAGAGCAGAAACTCATTAGGATTGGCTACATTAGGGGTGTGTGGCCTAACATGCAAAGGAGTTCCTGCTACAAAAAAAAGGCCCTGGGTTTTGACGACAAACAAGGTAAACAGAATAACAAGCAAAAGGTGGGTGTGGCTGGATAACCACACTTCTGGTAACATGTGGGTGCGGCCTAATGTGCTAATGAGCTGTGCCGTCAGGGGTGTGGCCCAATATGCTAATGAGTTCCTGTTGTTGGGTGTGGCCTATTATGCTAATGAGTTCCTGCTGGGCGTTTTTCTACAAAAAGAGCCCTGGAGGTCGCCCTTCCAAGTACTTGCCAGGGTCGACCCTGCTTAGCTTCCGAAATCTGATGAGATCGGGCTTGACTGGGTCATCCAGGTCACGGCTGGGTCCCCGGCCTTTTTGACCCCTCAGGTGCCTTTGGAATCCTGACACAGTGTGGCGAGCGCAGACACAAAATGGCTGCCACCACATAGCTGCCGCAGAAGGCAGAACCGGCCATAAAATGGCTCCCGCAGCTTGCCTTCAGTCCCACAGTGTGATCTTTGTGCAGCGGTGGCAGCTGCTCCCAGAGTAACACTTTTAAAAGTCTATGCAACCAATTAAATCTCCAACGGCCCCTCAGAAACCTTCCCGGCAACATACTTCCAGGCAACACAATCCCGAAGCATATTACCTGCGCATTTTGGAAAAAATTCATTTACACCAGCTGCAAGTGGCCGTGCATTCCCCTTTCCCACACTCACACAAGGAGGAATGCCTCATCTGGGGCGGCAGCTACACGCACCAGCTGGAAAAGGAAGTGTGGGTGCGTCTTTCAAGTGGGGATTTTGCTTGGGTCGTAGGTTTGATCACATAGCCTATTCTACTGAAGTGTCTTCAATGGACAGTCGGTGCAGTGCAGCGACTAGGGTTGCCAAATCGGGCCGGGGGGCAGGGAACCCCCGCTTCCGCGGCCCGATTTCCGCCGCAGGGGAATTCCGGCCCGGGGGGAACCCCGCCCCCCAAGCTGCGTCACCAGAGGTGACGCAGCCACGTTGCCGACGTTGGGGGCGTGGCTGAGCTCGTAGGAGGGGAAAACCATATGGTTTTCCCCTCCTACGAGCTCAGCCACGCCCCCAACGTCAGCACGTCGCCCGTCACTTCCGGCGACGTGCTGCCGGCGCGCGCGCACACATCAGGACGACTCCCGGACCGCGGCGACACTCCCCCACCGCGGGGGGAAGAAGATTTGGCAACCCTAGCAGCGACTAAGGGAGGGACACCTCCCTGTTCGAATCCACTCCCACTGTGGGCGATTCTGCATTGGCTTTCCCCTCTGTTGTTTTACCAAACCCACCTTGGAACAGAAATTCCCCTCTGCATTGCATGCCGCTTTCGCCTTCTTTGATCATCGGGTTTTATGGCATCTTCCACGCTGCATGCCGCTTTCGCCTTCTTTGATCATTGGGTTTTATGGCATCCTCCCCACTGCATGCTGCTTTCGCCTTCTTTGATCATCGGGTTTTATGGCATCCTCCACACTGCATGCCGCTTTCGCCTTCTTTGATCATCGGGTTTTATGGTAACTTCTGCATAGATTTATGGCCATTCAGGGATGACATTGCAGTCAACACAGCGTTGGCCTGGGGTATCTGAATGTGGTCTCGAGCTGCACCTTTTCTGTCCCAACGTGGGTTTGGTAAAACGACAGAGGGAAAAGCCAATGCAGAATCAGCCTATGAATGGGGTCGGTGGTCTTAAGCCGGCCGTTTGATCTCCGCCTCAAACACCACCACCCCGCCCCCGGTGACCACGTGGAATCTGGGACGCAAGGGGCAGGCAGGCAAGGATTACGGCACTGTGTGTATAAAGCACTCTGAACACTAGAAAGCTCAATCTGAATGCTAAATTGCCCTTCATAAGGATTCTTAACTGGGTTACAGTCCTGGGTTTTTTTAGACACTCCCCCAAAACGGCTGGGGTCTGTCAACTTTCCCGCGCAAACCCAGGCAGTGATTAGGTTATGTCGTTCTCAAGCATGCCCTTGCTCCCCCCACTCACCCCATTGTGTATCTCCACCATTCCTGCAACCGTGTTTGGGAGCCCACAGAAAATGTTTTGCGTGTAGGTAGTATGCAGAGTGCTCCTCTCCGACAGCTGAAAGGCTAGAGTAAAAGGCCGTGCTTATTTCCAAGGACGGAAGGGGAGCCATGGCTCAGGTGCTTCGTGTACATAGAGTCTCTGATCTGATTCCCAGCATCTCCAATGTGCAGCTTCCAGGAAAGACATTTCTCTGCTCCGGAGGGCTGTCGTTGAGCAGAGTGTCCCGTACTGGAACAGGTGGACCGATGGGTACAAGGCGGCGTGATGCGTGCAGAGGGCCAGCTGGCTTTTGCACGGGGTGTGTGAGGTCTCAGGTGCCACCTCTCTGCCCCGCCAGCAGCAGCCTCCAAGCGCCTCTTTTCTGCTCCCTGCAGAGATCGCTCCCAGCCTCCTGCCCCGCCCCCGCCGCCTGCTGCTTTTGCTCAACCCTTTCGGAGGCAAGGGGAACGCCCTGCAGTGGTGCCAGGCCCACGTCCTACCCATGATCACAGAGGCCGACATCAGCTTCAACTTGATCCAGACAGGTGAGGCTTCTGCCGGGAGGACATGGCCGTGGGTGGTGGTGGGTGGGTGGGGGAAGAACACCTGGGGGGGGTGCTGGCGGAGAGCCTGGATGCTCCTCTCTGCCCACAAGGAGCTGTTTATCTGGGCAGGGAAAGAACTGAGTCGTATTCCGAGACAGTAAGTCTCTCTCGACGGTTGTTGGCCACGATGACTAAACGAAACCTCCATGTCCAGATGCAGCATGCGTCCGAGTGCCAGGCACACCGATGCAAACAGCAGAACTCAAGGTCGCTCATACCGTAAATAAAAGAATATTATTAAAAGCTGCACACTAAAGACCACAATTTAAAAATCTCAGTTAAGCCTGCCAGTCCAGGGCTATTTTTGGGCAGGAACGCACAGGAACAGAGTTCCGTCTGACTCCCAAGCTGGCCACGCCCAGCAAGAACCTCATTAGCATAGTAGGCCACACCCAAGAGCAGAAACTCATTAGGATTGGTTACATTAGGGGTGTGTGGCCTAACATGCAAAGGAGTTCCTGCTACAAAAAAAGGCCCTGATTTTTGACAACAAACAAGGTAAACAGAATAACAAGCAAAAGGTGGGTGTGGCTGGATAACCACGCTTCTGGTAACATGGGGGTGCGGCCTAATGTGCTAATGAGCTGTGCTGTCGGGGGTGTGGCCCAATATGCTAATGAGTTCCTGTTGTTGGGTGTGGCCTATTATGCTAATGAGTTCCTGCTGGGCGTTTTCTACAAAAAGAGCCCAGCCAGTGACTGAAATCAAAGTCATTCACATGCAGTCCTAAATAAAACCACCTTCAATTGTCTCCTGAAGACTAATCCAGGTTGGCAGCCGTGCTGGTCTGAAGCCGTAGAACAAATGTGGAGTCCAGTGGCACCTTTAAGACCAACAAAGGTTTATTCAGCGTATGAGCTCATGCCTCGAATAAACCCTTTGACTCCTGAAGACGGAAAGCGAGGGGGGCCTGGCGCACCTCCCCGGAGGAGGCTGTTCCATAGTCACGGGGCTGCCACCGAAAAGGCTCCGTCTTGTGTGCCCTCCGTTGGCCAACATGTTGCTGTACAAGATGGCCCTTCAGCTGGATCAGCCAGGCTCTTCTTCCTTTATTAAGCGGAACCTCAGGCTGAAATTCAGAAGTGCAAGCTGAGATCTTGTGATATTATATTGGGAGATCTTAGCAACCATTATGGGAGGTGCTAGGCAACACCCAGCCCACATTAGCTGAGGCTTCCAGAGAAGAGATGGTAAACAATAGGAGGGTGAGGAGGTAAACGCGGAGGGGGGAGGAGCACGGAAGGGGAAAGCAAACCTGAAGATGAGGGGTAGAAAACCGGGGGGGGGGGGGGAGAGAGACATGGGGGGGGGGAGAAAAAGCTAGGTAGGGTGGGACAGAAGAAGGGGGAGGATGAGACAGAAGAAGAGGGGAGGGGCTGCCGGTGGGGGGGAAACTGAAGGTGCAGAGGAGAGACAAAAGGTAGGCAGGGGGAAGAGGAAAAGGGGGAGTGAAGAGATGAGATTTCCCTGCACGCCGGTCCTTGCCAGTGTTCCCTCTAAGCTGAGTTAGTGTGAGCTACCTCACAGTTTTTTAGCCTCCGGCTCACACATTTTTCTCTTAGCTCAGGAAGGATGGCTCCAGGACAAACTAATTTATGCAGTAGCCAAATCACCTGCTCACAACTTTAGTGCCAGTAGCTCACAAAGTAGGATTTTTGCTCACAAGACTCCACAGCTTAGAGGGAACATTGGTCCTCGCTGGTCCCCCGTTTTGTGTGTGTGTGCATGGAGTGGAGATGGGAACCGCAGCTATAATACTCAACTGATGTTTTCCCCTTCCTTCTTTTTCCTCTCTTCCAGAGCGACAGAACCACGCCAGGGAATTAGTGCAGAGCATCAGCTTAGCAGAATGGGACGGCATTGTGGCCATTTCAGGAGACGGGCTTCTTTTTGAGGTATCGGTCCCCAGATGCCAATTGAGAAATGGCGGTCACTGCCTCTGAGAATCTCTCCCCCCCCCAGTGGCACTCTTATCACTAGGACCTACTTCCCATCTTCCTGATATCTGGGCCAAATAGCATGCGCTTCCTGGCAATTGCTTGGCTGTGAGGGGTGCAGGTGTGTGAGAGAGGGCGGTCTCCATGGGATCCTATGAGAGTTAAGTTTGTACAAAAAGAAAAAAGAAAGCATCTAGACCTCATGGATCATCTTATACGAGCCGTGAACGAACCCGGTTCAGTATCTGGTAGCTTCGTGGGCTTGTGACAACCGGTGCTGCACATTGCTGGGGGAGTCCACTTTTGGGAGCCAAGCTGCCTTTCCGAGGAACCGCTCTGCCTTTTGTGATGCTGTTCCTGGGGACAGAGACAGAAGGCCGGTGTGCTCTCTGCCTTCTAGCTGTGGCTCCCCCTACAGTCTAGAACAGAGGTCCCCAACTTGGTGCCGATGGGCAGCATGGCGCTCGCTAACCCCTTTCCTGGTGCTTGCCAAGTGTTTTCAGAAAGCGGGCAGGGTAAGGTGGGGCTTTTGCTTCTAATTGGCCATCGGAGGTTTGATCGACTTTGCAGATCTTTACAAAGCATTACTTTGGCAGCCGCTGCCACCGCAGCACAAGGATCTTCACTGTGTGGCTGAAAGTACGTTGCGGTGTCCATTTTGTGGCTGGCTGCGCCCAGGGCAAGGGACATTTTGTGGCTGCGCCCACTGGGCGGTGTCAGACGTCCAAAGGTGCCCGCAGGCTCAGAAAGGTTGGGGACCCCTGGTTTAAAATGAGGTTCTGAAGGCTTGTCCCTCTTCCTTCCTTCCTTCCTTCCTTCCCTCCAGGTTATTAATGGCTTGCTGGAACGGCCAGACTGGGAGGAAGCGATTAAAATGCCAGTTGGGATTCTCCCCTGTGGGTCTGGAAATGCACTGGCTGGAGCCATTAACGATTGTGCTGGGTAAGTGGAAGGCTGGATTCAATGCTTTGTGCCTCTCTGCCTAGGAAGGGCAGGAGGGTGTGCAGTGTGTTAGCCGGAGATTAATTTTAGCTTAGCCTTGCTAGCACCTGTACAGGATAGCCCACCCAAACCTGTCCAGGGATTAGAAGGGAATCCTGCACTTTCCAGTACACTAAACAACAACCCACAGAGGTAGGCTACCCTCTCTGGATTCAGAACAATATGCCACCAGAACCTCTACAATAATCCCCCTCCCAACCTGAGATTAGAGGTTCAAAATCTCGGCTGGCATCTAGGGCTTAACACATTAGCACCTCATTCCCAGAGATGCACACTTAATGCTCAATGGTAGCTTGTGGTCAGTTAGGCACAGGAAATAGACTTGGAATCCCAGACAACATCAAAGACCATTTATAAACAAGAACAATTTTTTATTCAGTACAGAGCAATGCAATTAAACCATGAAAGATTTCAAAACAAGAAAGGCTAGGGCTGTTTGCCTTAACTGCACAGTACAAGATGCATATTTACCAAGTTCAGGAAAATCCAAACAGTCCAGAATAGCACCAAGGGATTTTGAGTAGGAGAAATCCCATCTTTGCCAACCATGTGCTCAGCTCACAAAACAGTTCTTTGTCTCCCAGAGAGACAGCATTTTCCAGGTAGAATAAAACAAGTAGAGAGAACAGGAGCAGAACACAGAGAGAATCTCTCCCATAGGGAGTGACTAGTTATAGGCCAATTCCAGTCACAAGTTAGCCCTGGCCAGGAGCCAATTGCGAGTGAGAATGGGAGTGCCCAAGATTTGGTTGTTATGGCTATGTGTGGGGATAGGCTATAAGTTTGGAGACCACGCCTGCAGTCACATGACCCCAAACTCCAGCCCCTCCATTGGCTACGTGACTTCTTGCATGGAAGGCAGAGCCAGATGCCATCAGGTCTGCCTCTTCCCTCGGAGGTGTGAAAGAATGTGTGGTTATATGGCATGGTTATAAAGTTTCTCTGGCCATTTGGCTTCAACAGGAAACAAGACACAGCATGTTATCAGAAAGACATCACAGGAGAAGGCATGGATTTTTAGAAATCAATATTTCTATACAGCACCCCACTCAGGACCTGTTTGTCAGTGCTAGGCCAGAGGGTGGTTCCGAGTGGTTTACCCTCTGTTGGGCTACAGAAGGGTAACTTGCAATATGTTTCTGGCCACCAGAGGGCGAACTGCTACCCCCCCCATCTTCTGCCTCTCTAGGCCTTTGAGCAGGCATACCATATGAGCCTATAGCAACAGAAAGCCTTGATATGGTGGGTTGCCATTTCCGGATTGGGAAGTTCCCATAGATTTAGGGGTGGAGCTTTGGGATGGTGGGGTTTGGGGAGGGGAGGGGCCTCATCAGGGTATAATGCTAAAGTCTACCTTCCAAAGAAGCCATTTACCACAGGGCGACTCATCTCTAGTCTGGAAATCAGTTTTAATTCTGGAAGATCTCCAGGTCCCATCTGAATGTTGCAACCCTACGAATACATGAAGATTTAGGATAGATGTGCATGTGAGCACACAGACGGTATATATTTCCTCACCACTGGGTAATAACAACTAGATCTCTTACCTTTGGAATGACTGGGTGGGGCTTCCAAGTTGGACGGTGTCCTTCAAAGCTGGTTGCATCATCACTGTTTCTCATGCTAGCAGTTCTCCTACAGATAGTTGGAGGACATTAAATAAGCAGTTGTTATCCCATGCTGTGCTGTGGGTAGGGCTGCCAGCCAGTGCCTCAGAATAAAAATGAAAAAGAAAAATAAGGCCTTGGCTACTTACTGGAATTTCTGACCATTAAGTTCCTGGTGATTCCTAGAGCGAAGTGACAAAGGTAGCTCTAGCAATTGCCAGAGACTCTATGGTAACATTACCACAGTGTTTCTGGCATTTGTTAGAACTACCTTGTCACTTCTGGGTGGGTCTAGGAATCGCCATGAGCTCTATGGTCAGAACTTCCTGTAAGCGCTAGAGGCCTTATTTTTCTTTTTTACTTTTTCTCCCCAAGACGATTATGGGCCCGCCCCCTTGGCCACAGTTTCTGCCCGGCAATCAGCTGAGCATTGGTGGACAGGCTACAATTGGCTGAAAGCAAATGAGAACCCTAGCTTTCAGGTGGGCAAGTTAGCCAATATCAGTGCTCTGTTCATTTGTCACCTTCTTCCAGGAGCCAAAGTTTATTTCTTTATTTATTAAATTTTTACTCCCGGCCGAGGCCAGCTCAGGGCAGCTTACACAAGCAGAATAAAATTCCTACAATACAGTGTAAAATCATCAAGATCAATTAATATAAATAACAGTGCTAAAACCAGTAACATAATAAAATGCTAGCAGACATAATTTCCTCATTTTACAGTCAGCTTTTTGATCTTCAGTTGTCTTGGGTGATTACCTCAGGCAGCAATTAAAGGTTCCAGTTCCCTTTGCTATTCATAAGTAAGGTAAAAGGTAAAGGTTCCCTTGCTCGAAAGCCAGTCGAGTCCGACTCTAGGTGCTCATCTCCGTTTCAAAGCCAAAGAGCCAGCGCTGTCCGAAGACGTTTTGGTGGTCATGTGGCCGGCATGACTAAACACCAAGGCGCATGGAACGCTGTTACCTTCCCAATGAAGTGGTACCTATTTATCTACTTGCGATTTCTTGCTTTCGAACTGCTAGGTTGGCAGGAGCTGGAACCAGAGATGGGAGCTCCCTCCGTCATGCGGCACACTCGGGTCTCGAACTGCTGAACTACCGACCTTCCACAGCCCGCAGTTCAGCGTCTTAACCACTTGAGCCACCGCAGCTCCATTCATAAGTAGGGGCGTGTATATTGTGGGTGTGTATCTGCCACGATGTGCTTACCTTCTTTGCAGACAAGAGTCTCCTATTTCTTGTACTGCGCACCACAGTGCCTTGATATAGTCTCTTGCGCACACCCCTCACTGTCTGCTGGATGGGAGTGCCTACAATTCTGATGCCTTTCTTAACCCAGGTTCGAGCAAGTCTTGGGCCAGGAGCTGCTGACCAACTGCACTCTGATGCTCTGCCACGGGGCCGTCACCCCCATGGACCTCGTGTCCATCTCCACCTTGTCGGGTTCCCGTTCCTTCTCCTTCTTGTCCGTGGCCTGGGGCTTCATCTCTGACGTGGACATCGAGAGCGAGAAGTACCGGCACATGGGTGCGGCCCGGTTCACCGTGGGGACAGTGGTCCGCCTGGCATCCCTCAACACGTACCGGGGCAGGCTGTCCTACCTGCCCGCTCCAGACACTGCGGCTCACCGGCCCATCTTGCGTAGCATCACCATGTCAGCCAATGGGAGCCTCCCCTTCCAGCGGATGCCCCTGCACCGCACTGTCTCCGACATGGGGCTCTGTGAGAAGCGCCACGCCTTCTCCATCCGGGGGGCAGAGCCCCCTGAGGACCCTACCCCGTCGCCCAGCTCCCCGCCTTCTTCCGGCTTCCAGCCTTCCAGCTTCAATTTTGAGGCCTTGCATGAGGAGCTGGTGGCCGATGGCAAGGGACCAAGACTGGCGACTCCAATGATGGTGGCACCAAATAGGTCTTCTGCCCGGTGTGTGCACGGGCCCCCAGACCAGTTCCTGGCCCCCCTTGACCAGCCGGTGCCCAAGTCATGGGTGACAGTGGAAGACGATTTTGTGATGGTCTTGGCCATCTACCAGAGGAATGCCCCTACCTCATCCGTGTACCTGTCCGCGCCTTCCGCCTGGAACCCCTCACCCGCAAGGGCATCCTTACCGTCGATGGCGAGAGGGTGGAGTACGGCCCCATCCAAGGAGAAGTCCACCACAGTGTGGCCAACCTAATCACCGGCATCCACAAGACTAAGATTACAACCTTTTGACGCAGGCTCCTGCCACCTCAGTTTCATGGGCACATAACAGATCTGTTTTCTTTCCTTCTACCACATGGCTGCAAGAGGGAGGGAGGGAGGGTGGGTGACGGAAAGGTGGGGTTGGAGAGAAGAGCCTCCTAACGTGCAATACCCCCTTGAGGCACCAGGGGGTGAACTACTTATGGCCACTCTGCCTTTCTAGGCCTTTGAGCAAGCATGCCATAAACCCCCCTTACTGAGCCTATGCTGACAGGTCTTGACCCACCTGCTCCCCCACCCCCTTTTTTGCTCCTCTACAGTCCTCTGCTGCTGTGACCTACTGGCCCATCTTGCATAGTATGTTTATGGCAAGCAAACAAGAGCCTCTGCTTATACTGCATGGGATGACCTCACCTATGTCTCACAGGAGTAGTTTGGCAAGTCTGGGCTGCATCTCCCCTCAAAGGGGAGCTTGGCTACAGGAGTGTGTTGAAGATGTGATATCCTCCCCCTCCCCTTTCCCCCACAAGTCATGGCTCACCCGAGCTCCTGTGCTGCTTCTCTGCACATTCCTTCTGCCAGTACATCATTCCGACTTTTCCAACCTATTGTAGCGCTTTCGTACCCTTGCACTACCCCCTCTCACCAGTAGGGGGGCAGCAGGCTTAAAACACTTCAATAACCGTTTCTGTCACCCTAAGAACAGGGAACCTCCGGGCCAGGAACGGCATGTGAACTCCAGCCTGTGGGATCCATAATCCGTCCTGCGCTTCTACTGGCTTCCTCTTCTGCTCCCTATGCTTGGAGGGTCACCGCCTACCCTACTGCACGCCCCTCTTGTGCAGAATGGGACCCCTAGCCTTGGCCGGAAGGCCGCCCTCAAAAGCCTGCAGTTGTTCATGCTCGACAAGGGCAGGAGCAGAAGGCAAAGTGACATGCCGTCTAGGTTAACCTGCTATTTGCCACGATGCCCCCTCCCCATGAAGGGATCAAGACTGGAACTGGGCGTATGAGATAGCGCCCCCCCCCCGTCCTATCCTCGGAAACTACTCGTTTGTCTCCCTTTTAAGCTATTAACACTAGATCCCAGACCAAGGAGATCCACCTCCTTTCTGGAGTCGCATTGCTTCAATGGCCGTTCCTTCTGAAGGGGGGGGGAGCGCGAGGGTATCTGGGGAAAAGACGGGGGCCGCCTGAGGGTGCTGCAGAAGGGGGTGAAGTCGACTACATCCATTCCTGGACAATTATCTCCCCCCCCCCGGGAATACACTGGATGAATGGAACTAGACTTCTCTTGTGCAATGGGGTATGAAGGGTTTGATTTTAATAGGCTGATGATTTCCCCCCCACCGTGTGGGGATTAACAAGCAATTAAAGTGATCTAATATTGTTAATAGATGTGTGTGACTATGAAATGCTGCTCGGTGCTCACGTACGTGTCTTGCTAAACCAGGAGAATAATTAGGCAAAACTGCCCCACCTCCATTGTGAAAGGGTGTAGGGCCCCGCACGCCACTCGTCGACAGCTTAGGGAGGCTGGCCGATTCTCATCAGAGCGCAGGGCCGAGCCATCCTCCTCTTTATTCGCCACCTTCCATCAGTTTTGGTGAAGCACTCGGGGTGGTACCCTGCGTTTGGTTTGTTTAATAGGAGTTAGAACATAAGAACATAAGAGATGCCAATGTTGGATCAGGCCAAAGGCCCATCCAGTCCAACACTCTGTATCCCACAGTGGCCAGAAATACCAGTGCCATCAGGAGGTCCACCAGTGGGGCCAGGACATTAGAAGCCCTCCCACTGTTGCCCCCCCCCAAGCACCAAGAAGACAGAGCATCACTTGCCCCAGAGCCCCTATCTACACCTTGTGGCTAATAGCCACTGATGGACCTCTGCTCCATATGCTTATCTAATTCCCTTTTGAAGCAGTCCATGCTTGTAGCCGCCACCACTTCCTGTGGCAGTGAATTCCAAGTGTTAATCACTCTTTGGGCGAAGAAGTACTTCCTTTTATCCGTTCTAACCCGACCGCTCAGCAATTTCATGGAGTGCCCACGAGTTTTTGTATTGTGAGAAAGGGAGAAAAGTACCTCTTTCTCTACCTGCTCTTTCCCATGCATAATCTTATAAACCTCAATCATGTCACCCCTCAGTCGTCGTTTCTCCAAGCTAAAGAGTTAAGCATCGGTCTTCTGGCTCAGACCAGAGGCCAGGCCACAGTTTCCCAGGGCTGACTAGCCAGCAGTTGATTCTAATTACCGTGTCCTGGTGACAAGAGAGACTACTTCAAAAGTTGGAGGCTCCCTGCTTAAGCTATTACGATGACTGTTTTGGAGGCCTTGGACTCATTTGTTATGAGGGCCAGATCTGACATGAATGTCCCTTTGTCGGGCCAGGCCATGTGTGCCGTAAAACGTAATGCCAGGTCCTGGAGGTATTTTACCACTGACCATGACCCACACCCCTCCTCAGCACCCACCTAAACCACCCTTGACTTGATATGCACAAGAAGCTTTGCGCAGCACAGAGAACTGTCGCCTGACAATCGGTGCAGCGACCAGGGGCTCTCGTGGCTCTTTAAAGACTATCACATTTCAGAGGCTTTGGACGAGATGGAGCACGAAGGCTCAAATTCAGTGACAAGCTTGAACCGCGAGGGGAAGTGTGACAAACAACCTCCCAGTGCCGCCACTTTCCAAAGATGCCAGCTCCACTGTAATTATCTTGTGCAGACTTTCATTTCCTGCCAGCTCCAGGGCATTATCCAGCCACCCAGAATATTACTCCCCATGGGCAAGCACACAGATGCACATCTAGTGTCTGCCTCTGCCGTGTGCAAACGCAGCACACTTTTCTGAACACACCTCTGACCTTCGCCTCACCCTCCGTCCCGCCCCCCTCCATTCAGACTGCTACATAAGGCAGGGCTCGGGTGCGCATGTTTTGGCCTCACCTTTTACTTAAATCCTCCCTGCACTGGCAAGGGACGGAGGCAAGAGAGGAGCCACGAACATTTGGGCCAGTGGGTTAGCAGGCTCCAGCTCACCCAACTCGGTGGGCCTCCTCCGCCCCCGACCCTTGGCATTCTGCACACGTTGAGCCCCTTACATAAGTGCTGGGCTTTTCTCTCTCCTCGGCTCACAGTGCACCCGGCCAGTCGCTCTGTCCACACACATAAGCAGGTACATTTGGAAAGCTGGCCAGCGGCTTTCCATTGGCGCCTCTGCTCACAGGTGCCTTCCCTGGGCTGCCTGCAAGTGGGAAGCCCCTCCGTTGGGCTTGGGAAGGTGAGGCCAAAGAGAGTCTGCCTACTGCCCATGAACAGCCAGCTGTCTTTCCAGCAGCGCTGGTGGGAGCCCAACATACTCTGCTCGGAGGAGGAGGAGAGGGACCCTGCGGTAGCGGGCGGGGCATCCCGGCCTGGTGCCTCGGCCAGGGGCAGCAGGCAGGCCCCAAGGGGACTGGATCTGCAGAACTTGGGGGTCAAACCAGCCCTCCTCCCCTTTCTTTGGTTGCTAGCTCCAGGCTGTGCAGTCCCTGGAGATCTGGGGGGAAGACCCTGAGGAAAGCCTTCATTAGGGGAAGGGAGGGACTCCGGCAGAGGTATAAGACCCTCATATATAGGCCTTCCTGGTCCACATTCGGACTGGTTTCCCCCCAGCTCCTTGCGGGCCGGCTGAGAGGCCTGACCGGCCTCCTGGCTGTATATTTTAATGTCTCTGGTGTATAGGAATAGCCAGTGACAGGGCTATTTTTGGGCAGGAACGGAGTTCCGGCTGGCTCCCAAGTTGGCCACGCCCAGCAGGAACTCATTAGCATAATAGGCCACACCCAACAGCAGGAACTTATTAGGATTGGCTACATTCGGGATGTGTGGCCTAACATGCAAAGGAGTTCCTGCTACAAAAAAAGGCCCTGGGTTTTGCCAACAAACAAGGTAAACAGAATAAGAAGGGAAAGGTGGGTGTGGCTGGATGACCACACTTCTGGTAACATGGGGGTGCGGCCTAATGTATCCTGGAGAATGGTTCGAAGAGTCTGGTGAGGTGAGTCCGGTGAGGCCGCTGGAGTCATGTCTGTGGGGCAGTGTCATGATTTGACCCATGAGCGGTGGTTTGCTCCTTCCTACCCTCACAAGGAGCGAGGGATTCCTGTCAGAACCTTTAACCAATCCTTGAGGCTTTTAACTGCTGTTCTGCCTTCCCCCCCCCCGCCACTGTGAACGTAGCAGCTGCAGAGATGAATAATCGATGTGCACAGAAGAAAGACGGAAATTGTATCTTTGCCTCTGCAATGACTGATTAATCTGTCTGGTTATATTAAAATGAAAATGTATTTCAATATCACTTCTATGTCAAAGCATTACATTTTGTTCACAAATTAATGTCCCCTTCTTCACTTTGCAAGGGATTATAAGGGAAGGAAGAAAGTGGGTTTACTTTATTCCTCTCTCCCATGCAGAGCAGAATTTTTGTAAAAGGTAAAGGTTCCCTTGCTCGAAAGCCAGTCGAGTCCGACTCTAGGGTTGCGGTGCTCATCTCCGTTTCCAAGCCGAAGAGCCAGCGCTGTCCGAAGACGTTTTCGTGGTCATGTGGCCGGCATGACTAGGATTTATGCACTGCTGCGCAAAGGAGAGCAGTTCTGTGAGGCGGCCGTGTCAGGATAAACCTCAAAGGCCAGGATAGTGTTTGATAAGTGCCGTTATAACATGAACGACACGATTGCGGTGCCCTTTCTAGCCCTTCCCACAGTGCCTCTGTCCGCTACAGAATGGAGGATTGCTTTCCTGTCTGGGAAAGAATTCTCTATGGCAGTCAGTACTGTCCAGAGGGGCTTGGAAGGAATTATGGGAATACACACAGCAGGTCTCTGGGATCCGTCGCCTTTAACGTGAGGCGGAAAATACTGCTGTTTAAAGCGGTAGGTGTGACGCCGAGATGCTATTTGTGTGTGCGAGCATTTGACTGAGCAAACTGCTTATGGCCTGTTTGTTCCCTGGACTCAAGCTGTTAGCAAATCCATTTGTCAGAAGAGGCGAGCCCCTCAGCCAAGGCAGGGAAGCCCCCCGGGTACTTGATAAACCTGATTTTGCTCTCTGTTCTGGCAGGCAGAAACCAGAGCGTGGGCTGTTCTGATAATAATAAATACTAAAAATGGCTGGCGGGTCCCATTCAGCTCGGGGGTGGGGTGTCACTCGCTAGGAACACCTGCTTGGTGTTCTCACTGCCTACAGTCTGTGGTGAAGCTTCATGTTAGTCTGTAGGAGTGAAAGTGAACAGGCACCATCCAGGTAACGTCCGTGGGGTGGCCCTTTGGCCAAAGCCTCTGTGACTCAGCGCTCACGCCATCGGATGCGAGAGGAAATGAGCCCTGACCTGTGACAGCCCGGGCTGAAATACAGGTTGCTAGACTGGAAGGTGACACGGGACAACCCTGCTATAGTTTGCTCTTTTTTCTCCGCTCCCTCTTTTAGATTTACTTTGTGGCGAGTGTCAGGGGCTGCATGATGTTTGCCGCTAGTTGCACTTTTTTTTAAAAAAGCGATCGGCATTTTTTGCGCCACTTCCATTTTTGAGGGGGGGACACCCCCCCGTAAATTGAAAAACAAAGTGCGGAAAAAATGACATAAAATTAGTAGCGTGATATTTTAAATGTTTACATTGAATGCAATGAGAAAAAGAATGTTGTAAGACTTTGTAATAAATGTTCCCAGTTTTTTTATTTAACGCGATTTAACATCAAAAGTGTAAATTTGAGGCCCTCCCAAGAATGTGAGGCCCCGGGCCAAATGGCTGTGCTGACTAGGGTTGCCAGCCTCCAGGTGGGGCCTGGAGATCTCCCGCTTTTACAACTGATCTCCAGCTGACAGAGATCAGCTCCCCTGGAGAAAATGGCTGCTTTAGAAGGTGGACTCTATGGCATTGTACCATGCTGAGGCCCCTCTCCTCCCCAAACCCCACCCTCTTCCGGATCCATCCCCAAAGTCTCCAGGTATTTTCCAACCCAGAGTTGGCAACCCTAGTGCTGACCCAACCCCATTGTACAGCTTAACTTTGATTACTGCTACTTAAACGGGGGCTGCCATAAAGAAGAGTCTTCGTTTCAGAACTGCCTTGAAGATGCAACTAACTCTAGCTGAAGACGGGGTAGGGGGCGCTTTGATCCAGGCTCCTGGGGGGAATAGCATTTGGCTGTTCTCCCCCTTTCCCAATAGGGACTGCACGTGTTGATTGCAGGTCTTTATTTGGGAAGGGGT